TGCTTCCTTGGCGAATGGAGAGCATGCAAGAACATGACCAGAAGCTTTGACCAGATCCTGTGGGACCAGAGAGATTTTTGACCAGATTCTTTGACCAAAAGCTTTGACCAGAAGCTTCGACCAAAGTTTTGAGCAAACGTCTGAGCGTACATCAGCGCAATCGTCAACATGATGTTTTCCTCATGCCGTTTGGGTGTGCTGTCCGTTTTAACAAAGGATCATCGTTTTGTTTGTTGAGCGTGGAGAGAACATGTCTGACGCATGTGGTTCCTGCTGGTGAATGTGTCTTGCCGATGAGCATGTTGTCATGACATGAGAAGCAGCGAGCTACAGGTGCAGCAGTAACAAGGACACGACATCTTTGGCAGCGAGCATTTTTACACACCCGTCAGCAAGTGTGTGAGTGTTGCCATGTCCAACACAGACAACGAGTGATGTGAACTTGGCAGTTTTGTTTTGAGCAACATCCTTGTGACTATGTCATTTGGCGAGAGTTTGCCGCTTCCTCCTGCTCCGGGAGACTGGTCTACATTGCCGGAATGGGCCAGGGAAAATGATCCATATCGAGCTGTGCCACTGTTGACTACGCCGAAATCTAAGTCTGGTGTGCGGTGTGACCGCTCTGCGGATTGCAACAGGCCTTTGCCTAAGCCAAGTACTGCCCCAAGCGTTCTCAAGCCAGCATTCACGGTGTTTAGCAGTTCGTCGGGGCACAGCCGTGTCAAAAATCCGGATGGGCCTAGTCCAGATTTGGGTATTTGGAAGGAAGATCCAGCCGAAAAGTCTTCAGGTTTGCCTGCCAAGAAAATCCGAACAAAACCGCCGCCGCCAATTGCAGCCCCGCCCGCGAAGCCGATTCTGGAATGTGATCCTGACACCGTGACAGCCAGGGCCATGTTGGTGGCATCTTCCGTCAAACGGCTTGCTACATATGCTGAGGGATCTTTCGACAAAGATTTTCTTGCAGTGTGGAACCATATCTGCATGATGAAGACGTCAACAAGTGCCGGTTCTGAATTGCTTGAGGGGCATCAAGTAAGATTGGCGTCATTCCTTGCAGCTGCGGGGGTTGCAACATCAAATGTTGGAACGCAGTTTGAAACCATGCAGTTGCAGGAGCACAAGATCTGGTTTTTGCCATTACTGCACATGTGGACTCCGGCATGTGGATGCCCAAAGGCTTTGATTGGAAGCCGCATGCACACATTTTTCTTTGCCCATGGCACAGATGACGTAGGCATGTTGGGTATTCTGGCGCATCAAAAGATGCGGAGATCCTTTCCTTCTGAAGGTTATCCCACATGCGGGTTCTTTTGCCTTGCAACCAACGACTTCAACGAAAGGATGTGGCCGATCGTGAAATGTTGGTTTTCTGCCAAGAATGAAGCTGGCGTCTTAGTGGTTGGGATGGCCGCAACAGATGGACCGCATCGGAAAGTAGAATCTGGTGGGGTACTGGCAGCGCAAGAAGCATGTGCTCGTGCAAAGGTGGCTCATTGCACTAGGCGGAAAGATTGGTGCATCCACCCCGACGCAACGCAAGTTCTAGGGTTAGCAGTTGTACAGTCGGCCTCCCTGCACACAGGTAGTAGTGTGTAGTCTAGCTTGCAGGCGGGCAAGGGCTTTCGTGATGCACAGGTCGTGGAAAAACACGCATCCCCGTTCTTGCTCGTTGATGCTGACGCGTGTGCATTCGTGGGATATGCAGTTGCATGCAGCGCAGGGTTCAATGTTTGTGTGATGGTGTTTGTGTTGCACTTGTGCCCAAGTGTGAGGGTTTTTCGTATGTTTAGGGTGTGCGCCGTTGCAATGCTTCTTCGTGGAGCTAAGAGGCGCCATGAGGAGTTCGGCTCTCCACCCCGCAGCCCGGTTCCTCGTCGCAGGTCCAGGCCTTCGTATTATGACGATGAAGCCTTTTCACCTCACGGAAAAAAGACCCACAAGTTGGATCTCCCTGAGGAGTTTATGGTCACTCAAGATTGCTATGATGCTCGTCCCCAAGGAGGCCGCAAGCTGTTCAAAACCGTGCAGCCGACTCAATGGAGTCGGGACTGGGGGTTGGCCGGCAAGCGCATTGAAGAAATCACTTTGCCACAGTTGTCTTGGTTGGGTTGGGAGAATTGGGGTCTCAGATCCCTCAGTGCCGGAAGCTACACTTCCTTGGTGTTTGCTCGTTCCGTCCGTGAAGGGCAGCTCCTAGATCAACTTCAGAGGGAGTTGCGGTCCCGTCACGTTGATGTCGAGAGTGCTGCAATCCAATGGGCGCAGCATGAGAATGTGCTGCCCAAGAGTTCGTCAGGAGCGTCCTCAGTCTTGACTCGCGAGGACAAGAATGAAGCGATGTCGAAATTCGTAGGTTGGATTGCAGATCAGGTGCAAAAGTGGAATGTGTCAGCGGTGGAGGGGTCACAGCAAGCAAGGATTCAGGAATTGGAGCGTCAGCTTACCGAGATGCGTGAAGCCCAAGCAAGCGGTTCTTCCAATCCCAACAAGAGGAAGGTGCCAGACAAACCGCCTGGCGATCATGGTGAACGTTTGACGGTTGATGATGTGTTTCAAGCCAACCCTCCAAAGAAACCCCTGAGGACCGACTGCCCGTCAAAGGCAGGCACATCGTCGGTGACAGCATGGCTAAAAAAGTTGCCGCAAAAAACTCAGGATAAGGCAATGGCAGATTACAAGTCCATTGAGCCGATGATGAAGACATGGGATGAAGATCAGTTGACTTCGTTGAGGGACATTGCCGCAGCGTGGGGGTTGCCAGTGAGCCTAGCTGCAAGCATGGGCAATAAGGACTTGGTGCGTGTCATTGTTACTGCCCACACGCTTGCGAAATGAGCTATTGGGCGGGACACTGCTGGCTTTCAACACA